CTCTTAAAACATGGTTGACCGTGAGCTCGTGTCTCATCTAGAGAAAAAAAAGTCTGTCTTAAGCTGAAAGGTGGTTCTCACGTCGAGGTGGCCCCTTTAACCACCAGTCTTAGGTCAGCTGTTTATCTACGCCAATAAATATAAGTGTTTTGATTTCGTTTCCCATGGCGTATGTTTTTATCACGACTATAACGTGTAAATTATAGGAAATAATAAAATTTTACGGCCCTTCTTACCTGATACAGATAACGTTTAATTACTTTTTGTCTTTGCTTTATTAGAGGGCTTCTGTAGAGAACTTTTGTACGGTTTTTATTCCTTGAGGCAGGTCGGCGAACTTGCCCAACTGCTGGTGAGAATTGAGAATTTTTTTTAGTATGAAGTTTTTTTTTATTGCCCTTGTAGACAGACGAGCATACGGCCCACCTGATGGTGAGTGGTTACCGTCGCCCATGGACTTCAGCAATGCCAGGGGCAGAGCCAAGCCGCTGCCTACCGAAAGCCAATTGGTTCAGAGCCAATAAACTAGACACATGAATTGGAACGGTAATTCTCTTTCTATTTCAATCAGAACGAATGAGTATTTCGTACCTAGAACCACTTACTCGGTAGCATCTTTCCGTGTCGGGTTACTATTGTAAGTTATCAATAAATTAGGAGCAATAAAGCTTATAAATGTTAAAAAAGGTAGTTGCGAAGACACTACCCCCGAAATGAATCAAGTGAGATTAAGTTATAGATAGTAGCGGTAGCTAACAAAGAACAGAAACTATTTGACCAGTATCTAAATCCAGCTAAGGACGTTTTCAAGTTAAGTTCATGTTACTGTTTACGCAAATATGTTTTTACTCTTAGTAAAGTTTCCTTCTTTCTCTTAGGCGGCCGTAGGTTATCAACGATGATTTTTGGCCCGAAAATGGATCTGCGATAATATGTCCAGTATAATAAAAAAAATTACGTTGCCTCTTCATTGTGACTCGTAGCTAATCTCCTACCACCGATTAATAGTCGCATCAGCCTTGAGCTACGATGCCTATTGCCTAGGATGTATTAAGGATGCTCGAATAATAAATAAAGTTAGTTTAATATTACTTGAGAACTTCGCTCATAGTCACCTATAACAAAATTAAACAACGACCGTCTAAATTCTAAAACAATCAACGATCAAAATGAACCTTGTGCCTCGGACATAAGACAAAAAGCTGTGTAATGCTATCAATTAACGTCAAATACGGTGACAACACTAAATGACATGATTTTACGAACATCTTCAACGTTACCATAATTTTATTTATCGCTTAACGACAATTTCCGTTTTTATGTCGTATCTTTTTGTGTAATAAAGTCAAATTTTTAATCTTTGTTGATAATCTTGTGGCTGTAAATTAAATGTAAATATATATTAGGGTTTTAGTAAATTGTCTATAAATATTTGTTTAAGACATTTTAAGACAACTTCTCCTATAAATACATAAAATTATTTTATGTGAAAACTACTGAACGAGCCATCTGTCTGTGCAATATTCGTTATTGTTATTTTTAAATTTCATTTGAGAGAAATGAACATGAGTATTATTGATCATCATTCTCCTACCTTTCACATATCGTCTTTCAAGCAATCCATCCATTTTTTCTTAGGTTTACTTCTTCCTCTAAAGCCTTCCAAATTCACAGTTAAAACTCTCTTAACAACCTCATTGTCACTTCGTCTCATCACATGTCCATACCATCCCAAACGCGTACTTCAATTTCTCCGCCCTCATGCATCAGCTCGCTGAGTTTCTCGCCGGATCTTTTCGGCGGGTCGCGATTCCGATCCGGTAGTAGATTTATTCGCGAAGCAGCTGTGCTCTTGAGTTGTTAGGTCTCCTTCGGAGGCGCTCGGGCATCTGTTAGAAAATCCCACCCCTCCTGGCTGAGCCTTTGGTCGCCTACCTGTCCTGGGGAAAATGGAAAGGCCTACGGGCCATCAGTAATCCTTCAATCCTAAAAAAATATATTCTGTAACAGGTGCCACTTTCAGACTTCTCTAACATATTCATTCCGTACTGGTGGTAGGACTTCTTGTGAGTCCGCACGGGTACGTACCACCACCTTGCCTATTTTTGCCGTAAAGTAGTAATGCGTTTCGGTTTGAAGGGTGGGGCAGCCGTCGTAACTATACTGAGACCTTAGAACTTATATCTCAAGGTGGGTAGCGCATTTACGTTGTAGATAGATGTCTGTGGGCTCCTGTAACCATTTAACACCAGGTGGGCTGTGAGCTCGTCCACCCATCTAAGCAATAAAAAAAAATCAACGATTATTATTGATTTATTAAAATAATAAATATAAATAACAAGACCGGAACGCGTGATTGCTTCGCGCCACAAATAGGCAGGACTGTGGTGGACCACTTACGAAGGGTGTATGTATACTGAGTTTGTCTGTCACGCTCCCGAGTAGACATCCTCTGTCCTTCCTTTAACGACTCCGCGATATGAAGATAGAGAAGTACCCATAATATTTAACGACGTAATTGATACACTAGCCTATAATGGACACGTTCTTGTTTTATTGACGATAAAATATTTTATTTCGATATTTTTATAGTAATTTTAATTGAGGTCTGCCGCGTGTTTATTTTACTACCGGTTTGTTTTGTTGTGTTGTTTTTTTCTTTTCTGTCGCAGGTAATGTCTCTTTTACGATTGTGAAATGAAGAATGTTTTGTGTGAACGTAAAAATGTTGTATAATAATGTGTTTCGTAATAAGTCTAGTCGATAAGTTCAATAATAACATATGTGATGTGTGATGCCATATTTATTTATTTTTAATTTGTATTTATTGGTAAACAATAGTGGATTTGATCTCCAAGAATGTCTTGTTCGGAATCTTTACGTAACAATAAGCAACAGAAATTTATAAAAAAAAAAGAAAAAGAAAACCTTGGTACATTAAAACACGGTAGAAGTAGTTAGAAAATGCTTAGCTTACAACCTGGCATTGGCAACGACTATGGTCGACGGTAGTGGCATAATACTCGATATGTCAATTGTTCTTCTGCCCTCAACGGCTTAGAAGGGTAGGAGTGGAGTAGCCTTCCAAAGTCTTCTATCTCTTTCTCGCGCAGACTAAATCCTATAGATACATGTATAATTTGTTTTTGTTTCCTATTAATGCCTTTTTTCCTTTCATCGAGTTTTAAGTCACAATGCTGCTAAAGTTTTCAGTAAAAATAAATATTTGACTCCGATCTTCCCAGTTCCAGGTACTGGTCATAAGCTCTGTTCTGACGGTAGGTATAGCAGTGGTATATTATATAGTAGTGGTATATTATATAAGAGTAGTATATAGTATAGGTAGGTTTGCGATAGTATATAGGTAAGTATACGATGGTAAAAGACGTCGTCGGAACTATCTCGAACAATTTCTGAGCGCATCATTAACAAATTTTTTTATTTTTTTATTGCTTAGATGGGTGGACGAGCTCACAGCCCACCTGGTGGTAAGTGGTTCCTGGAGCCCATAGACATCTACGACGTAAATGCGCCACCCACCTTGAGATATAAGTTCTAAGGTCTCAAGTATAGTTACAACGGCATTAAATGTATTATTTACGCTTCTATTAAATGTGTTTATATATTATAGGATACAAGCCATAGTCAAAACGTTAATAATTTCTAAATTCTACAACAGACAGGTGTACCAATCACACTCGATGACAAATTACAAATACCGTTTAATTAACAACGTCTCAATGCGACGCAGCTGGATTGGCACGCGCGCATGCTGCTTCCTCTGATCTTTGGCTCCTCTCAATTGACCGCATCTGCCGACTTCAGACGACAAAATCCTTCTAATGAATCAATAAGGCCCCTTTAGGTCTCTCCAACGGGGGGAGGCAGGGAGACGTTGTATACATTGAACTGGTTGATATCCGCACCAAGCAGAAGCACGATTTATTAGGCATTATCTTCTGAACAATAAGGCCCAGAGTGTTCCATAAACAAAGCAAATGTAACTTGGTAAAGAATTCGTTACTGCGCTTGTGCCTCGAACTTTGTATTTGCGGCCGCTTATAGTCTAATTCCTTCTAGGTTTCGTTGGAAACGGTATTTCGGAGACGCATATTTAAATTTGTAAGATGTGTTACTCAATCATAAATTGCTGTGGAAGATAAACTAGGTGTTTCCGCCTCAGCTGTTTACCACAACTGCATTCAATACGAGTATTGTTTGAAAACACTTTAAGCCGTTCTTGAGATCATTTTTCTTTCATCTTCACACATTATTGTGTATAATGTAACGATATTAATAAAATTGTTTGTAACATTTCTTGAAAAACCGTTTTCGGCTTATCTATGGACACGATTCTTGTGAATTAAAATTCGGAAGTCTTTTCTGACTTATGAATAAATAATTATATATATTCTTAAGGAGTCGTCTCCTGTCGGAGATTGGTAGTCAATAAAGCTATTGCCACTTTGAATACTCCAGTGCAGAGAGATGCAATGCAACTTCTATCAGAGGTCCTCTTGCCTTCGATTTTCCCTTACATGCTTAGTTGCAGAAAGTTATACTTAGCGCCAGAGAAGAAATGTTTTAAGCATAAGAGAAAAAATAAAAATAACAGGTTTTAAATTTCGAATCAGAAATATAGACCTGGAATTACTTTATAATTACGCTACATGAGGTTATAACATTGACATTCTCTGAGAAGAAAATATGTTGAGTTTTTGTGAAACGTTAATATGTGGAAATTATTTGTGAGTTTTTCAACTCTTTTTTAACAATTATTCTTAGAATATATTTTGTTAAAATGGGAATAAAATACGAAGCTTATTTAATAAGAATAGGAAACAATGAAATAGTATCCGTAGCCTAGTTATATATTCTGTGAAATTAAAAACTCTATTTGCAAATTCATCTGTCAAATATCAACATCATGGTGAAGTAAATCTATAAAGTAAAATTTTGATTAAAGACAGATAAAATTCGATAATAGTCTCATAACAAACATGAATAATACCAATGCCAGAGCCAGAATTATCAATGAAATATTCCATGCACCGGAGGAGCCGTGTTACAATGATTTCTCGTGTTATTTTCTCGGCTCTCAGAACTATGCTGAGCCCAAATACTCAGTCACATCGCAGCGTGTATCGTTCGAAACGAAGCCTGACGAACCTCCATCATTCCATATAGATAGTAAACCTCACATTTTATTCTCAGAGAACGTTCAAACTAATTTACATGAAGCCAAACATTACAACTGTAAATGTGAAAATTGCAGACGCGATAAATGTCCATCGAAATCGGCTAGATTACAAAAAAAAGATAACATTATGCAATTCAGTGATAAAAGTACGATGACATCGGTAGTAAAAGACGCCGACTGCTGCTGTAATTTTGGTAAAATGTGTAATCGTCCAGATGTGACGAATCCTACATCAAATACAGGTAGTAAAATAGATAATCTCAAATGTCTAGAACGCAGATGCCCAAGAACGATACTTAAGAATGACATGAGCTATAAATGTGCTGGTAGAATATGTAGAACTTTTATTGACGATCAAATAGCTGAACGAGATACAATAGATGATAAAGAACATAAAATCGATTCACAACAAGACTTGNGTCCAGATGTGACGAATCCTACATCAAATACAGGTAGTAAAATAGATAATCTCAAATGTCTAGAACGCAGATGCCCAAGAACGATACTTAAGAATGACATGAGCTATAAATGTGCTGGTAGAATATGTAGAACTTTTATTGACGATCAAATAGCTGAACGAGATACAATAGATGATAAAGAACATAAAATCGATTCACAACAAGACTTGCAAGAAAAGTTTCCATCAGAGGAAGTATTAGACCAAAGAAGAACCTTATATAATGAAGGTATTAGTGATCAAATTGCAAATCAATTTCCTATAGCCCCGCAAAGACTACCTTCGCCAATTTGTGTTAATCCTGAACAAAATAGGATGCCAGTCAAAAAATATAATCCAAAATGTTCTATTGTATCAAAAGGTATACCGTTCTCGCATAAATTTCAGTCGAAATATCACGAAACTTGTAAAAATACATCAAAGAGTCGCATAAATACGGATTTTGACTCGGAAGATATTAAATGCTTAGTAGCATCTCCAGATATTGTGAAAAATGGAATGTTAAAATCAGCCAGACCACTCCGACTACCTTCGATCAAGTTACCAAGAAGAGTTCTGACCTCTGAAAGGGACATAGAACTTTACATTGATAGTTTTCATCCGAAATCTCGTAAACGTAAATGAGATTAATAAAATTAACATTGCAAAAGTTAAAAGATTTTGAACACCGCTAGAGAATTATTAAAATATTATCGTTGACTTGTTATCGTTTTATCTGGACAATAAATAAATAGTTTTACTGCAAGCTTGATACTGAACGTTTGAAGTTTTGCTATTCTAATGTCATATTTTAATTAATAACAACAGCTGAAAACGTTGTAAAATGTTGGTCATTTTTTTTCGCTTAAAAATTACTCACAAGGTTCACCTTGGAACGGACTGAGGGAAATTATATCATTGGATCAATCTTAACAATGATGTCTTCCAGCTGTGGTCCAGAGTACATGCGGTTCACGAGGTCATCAGCTGCGGAGAAAGCTCTTTATTGGATAATCTACTTGCAATTGGCGCCCAGACCCTCGTGAGGCTACCAACATTTGGTTCTATCATGAGCCTTTAGTTATATTTGAAAAATAATCTTGAAACATTAAAAGTGAGGAATTAAAAAAAAAACACGGAATTGTTAAGGTTCAAAATATTCTGGATTAAAACATGCATACAATGGCCCCGTCACGTATAGACATAAAAGACTGTCCTTACTCGTTGAAAGACAAGCGTTCAGGAAACCGAAAAATTAAGTTCATTCTAGCCGTAGAATTTTTTTATGAACTGCATCACGCGTATGCGTTTCAAGGAATTATCTATATTCGACTCCCTAATTAAATCAATTGAGTTTCTTTGAGTAACTACCAAAACTATTTTTATGATTAGCATACACCTATCTCGCACACGTTCCGATGTCTTTTATTNTCGTTGAAAGACAAGCGTTCAGGAAACCGAAAAATTAAGTTCATTCTAGCCGTAGAATTTTTTTATGAACTGCATCACGCGTATGCGTTTCAAGGAATTATCTATATTCGACTCCCTAATTAAATCAATTGAGTTTCTTTGAGTAACTACCAAAACTATTTTTATGATTAGCATACACCTATCTCGCACACGTTCCGATGTCTTTTATTGGTGTAGATAGACTAACCTTACTGGACCAAGTGAGAAAAGAGATTTCTCATTTCTCCTTCCTCATACCTATATTCCTGCCTATGGTATTTCCTAATTAGTAAAATTTAAACATTTGACTAAAGCATTCCATTGATAACAGTACAACGGTATATGACGGCAGATCAATGGACGCCAAAGTAACAGTCGTGTTTTCAGTAATTTTATGCTTGTAAATTATTATAACAACATCCACTTTCAGGATTAGGTTTAGAATTTTCTTTGATTCAATAAATGTGTGTGTATGGTTGTTTACCTCTGTCTGTCGGAGGTCACGAGGCACGCGTCGTATGCAAGGCAGAGTTTATTTGCTGGGCCCATCGCAGAAACTTTTTGCTCATTGATATTGATATTTATTAAGTTGGATGTGGGATGTGCGGGTGACGCAAGTGAATCAAGAATGAGTGATTACTTAATTCAACCAATGATGTTATTTGCTGTTCTTAGAGTTAGCTCGGTTCGAAAACTATGGAAAACATCTGTCAAGGCTTTAATAAGCAAGAATTCCATATGACCACGACTGCTCTGCCAAGAGCAACCGATTATGATGATGATGATGATGAGAGTTAGCTAGCGGGATGTCAATCTCATATCTCCCAATAGATGTAGCTCTTGCACTGTTTCCTGACCTCAAAGGTCTATCAGTTCCAAGACAAGTTAATCTCCGGGGGTATTTGATTCGAAAAATGGAGTCAAATCAAAGTCTGATATGGAAATATATTGTACTGATCCCATTTCATTGGATCAGAGCAAGAATAAGTATTAAGGGAAATAATGAAATACCAAGCGAATCACAGACCATCTGTACGTTAAAAAAAACTATAAGCAGCAATAAAATTAACGGTCATAGAATATAATAAGTTCAGAAGGTGTAAATGTAATTAAGCAATCATTAATTTGATGGTCCGCTTCAAAAATGATCTAATAAAGATAAGACGCAGTTATCATTCATATTAAGGGTGGGTTTTATCGAACCACCCCATCAGTTTTCTAATGGTATGTCTATATTAAATTATTCTTTTATTAATGAGGTGACCACAAAATAATTGGTAATGACATTTAGTTTTGTGTTACATTTAAATTTCATTCGATACTGTTAACCTCATCTGTGTCCAGCTTATAAGCCTATTAATCCCTTAAATACGTCAATTATTTTAACCACGAATCAATCATGTATTTGGGATGGATAATCGTTGCACAATGAACATTATGTCTCCGACATAAGACTAAGTTTTACACATCTTCAGGTATTTAATATAAAATACTAATGCTTATGGTCTCCGCGGGCTACAAGAGCATCAGGTATGTGACCTCGTTCACTCATATTGGGAAATTAAGAACATGTGGCCTTATGTGTTTAGTAATATGTCTACTGATACTATCATAAAACTGTAGAATACCGGTAGGTGCATTGAATCTATTTAAAAATATACCGAGTTACTTGATCTTGTACTAGGAGTAAGAGACCAATTTATGTGCGTCCAACGATCCATTCGAAAAAATGAAACATTGATTTCTGCTCTATCATAGTCACCCTACATGATAGTGGAAGAGAAATGTGCATACTATATGACGCCCAGCAATCGATCATAAGCATTCACATGTCGCAACAGACGGACACAAATATGTACATAATTCTATTGTTTTCGAATTTTATCGACTTTAAATGTTTAGGTGGTTGAAGATGTTATATTGGTATTTACGGCTTAATTTTTATAATTTTATCTTTATTGTTATTGTGTAAGCTGTTTTAAAATATTTCTCCATTAAAATAATAGATCTTGTGTCATGATCCGAGGGTCTTCGTATGAATTGTCACATCCGCTGTAAAATTATTACAAACCGTAGCACCCCGCTTTGAAATAACCCGCTTGGGTGTAAGTAGATGATGTTAAATAATTTATATAAAAATCGATTCCCGCTTTCATGTGCTTATAATGTGGAAACGAAAACACCTTAGCTTAGAAGAAGAGAAGGTAGAAGACTATGGTGGAGATACTAAAACTATGGTTTTAGTAAAACTATGGTTTTAGTAAAACTATGGTTTTAGTAAAACTATGGTTCATACATACATCATACATGGTATGAAACATACTAGTATTCCATCCACCAACTAGTATCTCAGTAGTATCCTGATGAAAAGACGGACAAATACCAGGTGGGCTGTGAACTCGTCCATCCATCTAAGCAATAAAAAAAAAAACTTAACGCGTAACTTCTATACGTGAATGGATTACACTTAGTTCTAATATCAATTTCGATATAAAACATAAACATAACATAAGTACGTGCGCGACAAATAGATGAATAACTCAATAACTCAATATCACGCCAACCGATTTCAATTATTGTTTTTAGTGTATATTAATTTGTTTTGGAATATCTTTTTTTTTCTATTTTAAGTCGGTTTTTTGTTAAAGCATGTCTATTTACAATTTTATTATGCCACAACTTGTCGCATTTATTGAGCATATTTGATCGGGAGCTTCCTCTACATTGCATTCGGTGTGTTAGTGCGAGTTATTTAACTTCTGTCTTTTTTAATTTCCCTTCGTTTGCCGCTAGGGACGCTGTTCTAACTCCATACAAATTTATGTTAGCTTTTATGCGATCTAGAATGAAATAACTCGCACTAAGCACATTGAATGTTGCTCTGTATGACGGATTGATAACCTCGTCGGCTCCCTACCTGCCCGACATCCTGCTGTGGTGTTCAGTAGCCGCCGGTCTGCACGTACAGTACTCAATTACAGTGCAAATCTAAGAACCAATTTAACTTCGCGTTATTATTCTATTGAATTAGCTCCTCTCAACGCGTTTGCGTCCTGAATGTGTTTAGTATGGTTTGAAAACGGTTCTTTTTTTTTATTGCTCAGATGGGTTATCGAGCTCACAGCCCACCTGGTGTTAAGTGGTTACTGGAGCCCATAGACGTCTACAACGTAAATGCCGCCACCACATTGAGATACAAGTTCTAAGATCTCAGTATAGTTACAAGGGCTGCACCGGGTGGTGCAAACCGAAACGCATTACTGCTTCACGGCAGAAATAGGCACCACCTATCTGCGCAGACTCACAATAGGTCCTACCACCAGTAATTACGCAAATCATAATTTTGCGGGTTTGATTTTTATTACACGATGCTATTCCTTCACAGTGGAAGTCAATCGTGAACATTCGTTAAGTACGTATTTTATTACAAAAATTGGTAACCGCCTGGAATTCGAACACCGGTGCATCGCTCAACACGAATGCACCGGACGCCTTATCCTTTAGGCCACGACGACAGCGTTAACTTTTGATAGCGTTCTTAACGTTAGATAGCAACGATTGCATTTTACATTACCGTCTTCTTGTGCTAAAACAACTGGAGGCAAGTTTACCTTTGTTGGCAGTTAAAAGTACAATGAAACTAATGTTATAAAACTACGCGATATGTCGGTGTATATCAAAAGATGTCAAAATTGTGACTGATCGGATCCGTTTGAAGTGGGCCGCGTCAGGGGCGAACAATCTTAGTTCATTTACATAGAAATAGAGTTTTATTGTAACACAAATGCACCGAGTTAATTAAGTTAGATTATAGTATGATTTGACTGTATTTAAATTTACTGTGTGAAAGCTTTCGTTTATTTTTTTTGAGGTTGGATTTTTTTTTGATATTTACGGCCTGTTGTCGAGATAAGTGTTATTGTATGAGGATAGGGCCCAATATAATTATATCTGTTATTAATGAGAAGGTAAGTATGGTGGCAGGACGAGCTTGTATCTAAAGCAGGAAGACATTGGATAACCACTGCAAAGGTAAGGAAAAATGGAATTCTTTGGAGAAGGCTTTTACCCTCAGGGGTACACATTAGAAGGAGATTAAATTGCATGAGAAGTAAATTTATTCTGGTCACTTAGTAATATAATTATTAAATACTAAGTTAATTAAGCTCTATCTAATGATTGTGGAGTCAATGGTG